CGCTGACTGAAGCCTCGTGCAACGTGCCTTGAAGACAGGCGGAGAACCCGGCGGCCGCTTCACCCTGAAAATCCACATGCCACTGACGATGTTCGCCCCAGGCGGGGGAACCTCGTCGACGTAGGTGCCTGTGGACTTCCAGAAAGCCATCTCGGCGTCCATGGCTGTCTGCCACTTAGAGGAGTAGGGACCCTCTATCGCCTCTGCGTAAGAGCGCGGGGTCGGGATGTCTGGTGCATCCGGGTCTCCCTCAGGGGCAAGCAGCATGGACACGAGATGAGGTAAAGCAGCGGCAAAGCACTCAAACTCCTCCTGTCTTTCCTCAAGGACGTCCGTGCCAAGAGCACACTCACCCCCGACGGACGGAGGACAGACAGACTCAGACTCAGACTCAGCAACAAGACTAGCGGCGTAGTCTAGACGACACGCAGCAGCAAAGTCAACAAGCTCAGCAACTAGAGCAGACGCAGCAGTGGACTCAAACGAAGGGTCAGTGACAACAGTGGCCAGGAAACGCGTGACAGTAGGACTAGCAGCACGAAGGGAGTCAGAGTCCGGGTCCGGACCGTCAGGAAGAGAGGACGCTGGAGGAGACGGCAGAGGGACACGCTGTGGAGCAGTGGAAGGACGCAGAGTCATATAGTGAGTGCCGGGGACAGGAGGAGGACACTGACGCGGAACACGACGACCAGTGCGGACAGCGCGAACAGGCGACTCAGGACGAGACTCAGGCGACGCAGGACGAGACTCAGGCTCACGACGCTCCGTAAGACCTCTAGCCGGTCCAGAGTAAGGAGAAGGACCAGGCAGTGGAGAGGCTGGCTGTAACTGCGACTGCGACTGGACAGGCGGTGGACTCAGTAAGGGAGGAGTAGGACCAGTAGAAGGCGGGAGGCCAAGAACCTGCTGAAGGAGCGGAACGTAGTACGGCCGCGGCCGCGCAGCGCCTCCAGAAACAGCAGATACAGCACATGTACCCTCAGCTCCAGGGTCTCCAGCTACAACTCCCGCAGCACCACCAGCTGCAGCACCTCCAGCAGCTCCAGCTCCAGCAGCACCTCCAGCAGCAACAACTCCAGCACCTCCAGCTCCAACTCCTGCAGCACCACCAGCCCCAGCAGCTCCAGTACCTCCAGTACGAGCACCTCCGGGACCAGCGGCTCCAGCACCTCCAGCAGCTCCAACACCAGCAGGACCTCCAGCAGCGCCAACACCTCCAGCAGCTCCAACACCAGCAGGACTTCCAGCAGCACCAGCAACTCCAGCAGCTCCAACACCAGCAGGACCTCCAGCAGCGCCAGTACCTCCAGCACGAGCACCTCCAGGACCAGCGGCTCCAGCAGCTCCAGCACCAGTAGTACCTCCAGTAGCAGGCCCCCCAGCTCCAACAGCACGGCTACAGCGCCGAGCGTACCACTCACGCAGCTGCTGTGGAGAGAGGGGCTCCCGCCGTGACGGGACACTCGGAGGACCTCCAGTCTCAGCACGCTCAGGCTCAGCACCCCCAGACTCAGCACCCCCAGGCTCCGCACGCTCAGGCTCAGCACCCCCAGGCTCCGCACCCTCAGACTCAGCAACCCCAGGCTCAGCACCCCTAGGCCCCGCACCCGCAGGCTCAGCACCCCTAGCAGTACCAGAGTCGACAGCTACCTCGACAGGCTCGACAGGGTCTACCTGGGACACACCTGAGGGGGCAGGACCCTGAGGGGGGAGGGGGTCTACTAGAGGAGCACCTGGTGCTAGGAAGAGCGGCGGGGGGGGGAGAGGGGCAGTGTGGTAGGGAAAGAGACGGTAGTAAGATACCGACTCGTCAAATGTGACCTCCTGAGAGGACAGAACACGACGCAAGGTGGGGTGGTAAAACTGCCACCCTAGTGCGTCAGGGGGGAAGCCAAGGAAGACGCAGGGAACAGCACGGGAGGACAGCTTGTCCGCGGAAGAATCGCGGACAAAAGCTCGAGATCCCCAGACACAGAACACAGACGCATCGCCAACCTTCCACGTCCACCGTAGAGTAGGTGTGGTCTCCGGCAAGGAGACACGAGGCTCAAGGTTGATCTGATGCGCAGTGTACTGAACCGCGAACGGCCACAGAAAATGGGGAGCAGCCGCATGGATCATGGACGTACGAGCGACGTCCATGACCATGCCAATGCGGCGCTCAGCAATCCCATTTTGCTGTGGGGAGGCCGGAAGCGTGAACGTCTGGCGTATGCCCTCCGCACGACAGAAAGCCCGCAGAAGGTCGGAGGAAAATTCACCACCCCTGTCTGAGTGCAGACGCAGAACAGGAAGGTCCGAGCCAAAGCTCTCGCTGAGCTGGCGACGGGCAGCCCGGATCCAGTCGATCAACACCTCAGTGACCTCACCCTTGCGGCGCAAGGGGAAGACTGTGGTGTAACGCGAGTAGTCATCAACGAACAGCAGGAAGTAATGCTCGTGACCCTGTCCACGGACGCGGGCTGGGCCCCACACGTCCATGTGGAGAGTCTGCATGGGAGCCTCTGTCGGAGGGAACTCGGAGGAGTGAGGAGCGGCGCACTGCCGGCCCTCGACACAAGGAACACAGGTAGGGGCAGGCCCCGGAGGAAGGGGAGGGAGGGACTGGGGGAGACCAGAGACAAGGGTACGGGAGGCCATACCTCGAAGACGAGGCAGGGAGGGGTGACCAAGGCGGTGGTGCCAAAGGAGAGTCTCGTGTGACAGAGAACGACACAAGAAGGGGGCAGACGCTGGACTAGACCTGGACGCAGCAGCAAACACCTGACCAGACGCAGCTACCTGAACAGACGCAGTAACTGGAGGAGACGCAGTAGTCCATTGGCAGGGTAGGAGTAGCGTGCTACGATAGCGTCATACAAAGACTTAGCAGTCTTGTACTGGCCAAAGTGCGCGCGCTCAGCAGACGGCAGGTGACTGCGAACAGCAAGGCGAGCAACAGCGTCACGAGTAGTCCACTGTGAGCGAACCGTACTGTCAGCAGTGGCAGCAGGTGCAGGAGAGACACCGGACGTCTGATCGAACAGGGAAACCCCATCCTTGGAGTCACACTGAAGAAAGAGCTGCAGGTCGTCTACCCAAACTTCGAAGTCAACTGCACGACCCTCAGCATCAAAGGTAAGAACAGTAGGGCTAGCCATAGCGGCAGAAGCACCAGTAGCAGCAGCAGCAGCAGCAGTAGCAGCAGTACAGGCAGGGCAGTGCGGCTCAGTAGGGCGGCGCGGCTAGACTGGGCGGCGCGGCTAGACTGGGCAGCACGGCTCGGCTGGGTGGCGCGGCTCGGCAGGGCGGCGCGGCTCGGCTGAGCGGCGCGGCTCGGCCGGGCGGCGCGGGTGCTTACCAGGGGCGGGTGCAGGGCAGGGCAGCGACTGGGGCGGCAGCAGGGCAGGGCCGCGACTGGGCGGCGGTAGAGCAGGGCCGCGACTGGGGCGGCTGCAGGGCAGGGCGAATCTGCACGAATCTCGTCACATGTTAAACACCGCACTTTAGGGCGATCGTAAGCGCGCAAAATTTCCCGCACCAATATGAGTGAATTATACAATTTGAGTTCAGGCGGGCAGTTGAAATTGACGCACCCTAAGTGTACGAAACATAGCCGACTGCACAGGTGGGATCGGAAAGTTGCCGCACTGCAGCAGTGTTGCAGCTGAATGACGGTGCACTGATGGATGCATGTGCATGTGATGGATAAAAGCGCATAAATAAGAACACGAATGCATGCATGTCATGTGCAGGTATGTGTGTGTGCATGAGATTGAGATGGGGGATGAATGCTGCATAAGTGTGTTTGCTCGTTGAACACATGTGCAAGGGTGTGGTACATACATGCTGGCATGGATGGTGCAACGCACAAGCATGGAAGCAATCATGGTGCATCATGTCACAATGAATGTCATGGTCCCATCGTGCCCTCTCACACTCTAAACTTGCTATTTCTCACTTCCCTCTCTTCTGTAACCAAATATAACATGGTCTCAAACCATCTCCTTCAACCCGTCACAAGTTCCTTCTGAGCGATCTGCCCCTAGAACGCATGCGAGCCCATGCCGAGCATTGCAAGGACATGCGGAGCAATGCAGGGCACCTCTAGCACATTGTTCCCACAGCTGCTGCCAGCTTCTGCGAGCTACCATTGCCCCCTAGCGCACTCAGGAGTTCCTTCTCAGCCATCTGCTGCACTCACGAGTTTCTTCTCAGCCATCTGCTGCACTCACGAGTTTCTTCTCAGCCATCTGCTGCACTCACGAGTTTCTTCTCAGCCATCTGCTGCACTCACGAGTTTCTTCTCAGCCATCTGCTGCACTCACGAGTTTCTTCTCAGCCATCAGCTGCACTCACGAGTTTCTTCTCAGCCATCTGCTGCACTCACGAGTTTCTTCTCAGCCATCTGCTGCACTCACGAGTTGCTTCTCAGCCATCTGCTTCACTCACAAGTTTCTTCTCAGCCATCTGCTGCACTCACGAGTTTCTTCTCAGCCATCTGCTGCACTCACGAGTTTCTTCTCAGCCATCTGCTGCACTCACGAGTTTCTTCTCAGCCATCTGCTGCACTCACGAGTTTCTTCTCAGCCATCTGCTGCACTCACGAGTTTCTTCTCAGCCATCTGCTGCACTCACGAGTTTCTTCTCAGCCATCTGCTGCAGGAACACGTGTGATGACATGGGGCAGAACACCAGCAGCTCCGCCTTGCCTGCCAGCTCTATGGGGTGGGTGGTGATTGGGAGAGTGGGGAAGAGTGGCAAGGACGGAAGGAGTTGAGGAGCGGAGCAAGAGATGAAGGCCATGTGGGAGCAGGAGGGGTTACAAGCACAAAAGTGTGGCCTCTTGGAACTGCTTACTTGCTGCTCATCGTATAATGAATTCAGCTCTCCTGGATCTCATGAGTGGTAGTAGCGCTTGCTTCCTACTAAATTTCTCGCCAACTACAGCTTGAAATGTACCTCAGTTGAGTATGTACATCTAATGTGTGGCACACAGGTTGAGTGTGAAGCAGTGCAACTCACTTGTTGTTCATGCACTCCTGGGACACCAGACGCACTATCTGCATTGTGTCCGGCCATTCTGCTGCCAGGCTGTGAGTGGGAGAGTGGAGAGAGAGTGAGGTGAGGTATGATGAGGGTGAGGGGAGCGCATATACAATTGCTCACACCAGTAACACATAGATAACGAAACACAAAGGCAGAATGAAAAACATAAATCTAGTGGAGGTACGATGGCAAATGGGCATAGCAAAGTGTTTGTTAGCTGGCGGAACGGGGACAAGAGAAAGGACTTTTGGATGAAACAGCTTGAGTGGTGGGATGGGGTTGGTTGAGAGTCATACTTGGGGGGAGATGTTGCCTGGTGGTATCCCTGTTAGTCACACATGCACATGCACACGCACACGCACATGCACTCACACACATGAACATGCATGCACGTACGCACAAAGGCAAACAAAATGCGCACACACCCAGTCACTCACTCCATCACACACACGTGCATCCACGCATGCACACAAGCATCATGCGGATGAAGGAAAACTTCAAGTGTAAGGAGTGGTGGTTGGATTATTAAATGGGTATAGATAGAGGTTGAGCAAAAGGGGGGGGTTGGTTGGTTTCATTGGAAACATTATTGACCCTCACCTCCATGCGGCAGATCTCACCTCCATGCGGCAGATCTCACCTCCATGCGACAGATCTCACCTCCATGCGGCAGATCTCAACAGACTTGTCCTTGCGTTGGCCCATAAGTGTTCCCTGAGGTGAATGGAGCAAGAAGGGCAGGGACACGCACTGGCGAGAGTCAGGACGATATGATATAGCACTGCACCGTCGCATGTGATGTCACTCAGCGCCGTTTGCACGGGGAAAAAGATAAGCAACTAGATGACAAGATACTGACAAGACCATTCTTCAGAAGATAAATTGTTGGAGTGAGTGAGCCATGAGCGTGCAAGCAGGCTGAGCGGAGGAAGGCACACTGGTTAACTCCCACGGAGCAGGAAGGCCCCTGCCTGCTCACCTCCCACAGCTTGAGGTACCGCGGGGGCTGCCCAGGCGGCCTCACACCGCCTGCTCCTGCAGCAGCAGCAGCAGCAGGGGGGGCAGCAGCAGCAGGCGCAGCGGATGTGGGTTGTGGAGCGCCCGGAGCAACAGCGGCAGCAGGGGCAGCAGCGGCAGGAGCGTGAGGCAGCGGGCGAGCAGCCATGGCAGTCCCAGGCCCTGCTGCTGCTGCTCCTCCTCCTCCCATGGGACCTGATGGCCCGCCTGCTGCTGCCCCACCTGCTGCTGTCCCGGCAGCGATTCCTGCTGCGGTGGCCTGCTGCCCTGGCACACCCTGCCCTGGCACACCCTGCCCTGGCACACCCTGCCCCACACCCACTCGCTGCACGCCCCCTGCCTGCCCCCCCACCACTCCACCCACTCCTCCTGCCCCTCCTGCCCTTCCTGCCCCTCCACCCGCCTGCATCTGCTGAAACGGTGGCTGTGCTGGTCGTTGCTGTGCCTGGAACTGCTGCTGTTGTTGCTGCTGCTGTGCCTGTGGCTGCAGCTGTTGTTGCTGCTGCTGCAGGGGAGGCCGCTGGCCCATCTGCCCGCCAGCACCACCAGCGGCTCCACCCCCTGCTGCCCCTGCCATGCCCGCACCACCAACTCCCACAGGCCCTCCCGGTGCCCCTGCCATGGGACCACCCACCCCCACAATGCCCCCTACCACACGCCTTGCCATGCCGGCCTGCCCCCCCACCATCGGCCCCGCTGCTGCTCCACCTGCTCCCCCCATCCCCATCCCCATGCCCGCCCCACCACCCACCACTGCTGTCTGCCCCGCCCTGCCCTGCTGCAGGCCCACCCCACGCCCACCCATGCCTGCTGCTGCTGCACCCCCCCCTGAATCCCCCACCGCCTCTGCTGCCACTCCCAGACCTCCGCGCCCCATAAAACCTGCTACCGAGCCTACTCCCGGACCTGCTCCCGGGCCTGCTCCCCGACCTGGTGCCAGCCAACGGGCAAGGCCTGGCTGGGAAGCAGCCAAACCTGGTCCTCCGCGGCCTGCCATGCCAACAACTGCTCCTCCCGGGCCTCCGGCAGGTATGGGCATTCCAGGCCTCGCCATCTGAGGTCCGGGAACGGCTGCTGGTATGGCTGCACCCATACCTGCTGTAGGTGCTCCTGCTGCTCCTCCTCCTGTCGCTGCCATGCCTACAGGTGCGGCACGAGGCATCATGCGGCCTCCAGGGCCAACAACCATCTGAGAAGGTTGCTGCTGCTGCTGCTGATGTGCCTGCAGGGGCACTCCAGGCTGCTGCATCGCTCCTGCTGCTGCCACTCCCGCCACCCCACCAGCCCCACCACCCATTGCCACTCGCCCCGCCCCTCCAACAGCAGCAGCCGTGCCTGCAGCAGCACCAGGCAGTGCCCCCGCAGCAGCGCTACCCCCAGCTGGTCCCATCCCCGCAGCACCCACCTGCTGCCCTGCCATGCCTTCTTGCAGCCTCGCCCCTGCCGGCACAGCCACCCCTGTCGGCTGCGGCTGCTGCTGTGCTGCCTGCTGCTGCGGAAGCAACTGCTGATACGCCTGTGGTGGCTTCTGCTGCTGCTGCTGCTGCTGCTGCTGCTGGGAGGGGAAGAACTGCGGGCTGGGGCTCGTGGTGCGAAGAGAGGGCATGGGTGCTGCTGGCCCTGGGCCCACAACCGCCGCAGGAGCAGCAGAAGCAGCACCGCCAGCAGCACCAGTGGTGATACCAGCAGTAGCACCTGGTTGCCCTGCCCCCAACCCCACCGCCACACCCCCCCCGCCCAGAGAAGCGCCCCCAGCCCCTGCCGCAGCAGAAGGGGGCTGGTGGGCGCGCAGGGGTTGCGAGGGGGAGGGGGAGGGAGCAGCAGGCCTGGCAAGAGGCTGTTGTGGTGCTGCGGGATACACGGGCTCCTGTTTGGGGGGGTGGGGGTGGGGGGGTGAGAGTGAAAAGGGTATGAGAAACTGCTGCATGTGTGTGGGTATGTTGGCGTGTGTGCTTGTGCAGGCAAGGGGCTGTTGTTGTGCTGCAGGATACATGGGCTCTTGTTTGGGGGGGTGGGAGAGTAAGTGGAGAGCGATTGAGAGTGAGAAAGGAAAGAGGAGCCGCTGCATGCGTGTGGGCAGACAGGCATGCGTGCATGCGTCTGCATGAGTGGGGGAAGGAGAGAGGGAGGGGGGGGGGGGGGGGGGGGGGGGGGGGTGGGTGAGGGGTGGGCGGGGGGCCGAGGAGTTTGCGCAAGTTTCTCGCAAAAAAAAATGTTTTTTTTTCTGTCTGGCTGAGCCCGTCGAACCAGTTCGACGGGCCCACGCGGCCTGGACTGCGCAGGTGTGACATGCGGCTATTCTTGTGAGATGGGTTTATTATGGCAAGTTTGTATTCTCTGGTTTGTAACAAATGTACACCAAGCCTTCAAGTGATCACAAAGAAAAGTTGGGCACTACTCGAAGGAAAACCGTGACTATACTGTAGACTCGGTCGATCCGAACTCGAACGTAGCTTGAGTCAAACTGCTTGCAACTCAACCAGATGGGTCAAACGAACGAAGCTCAAACCAGCCTGTAAGGCTGGGCCACAACCAATTCAACCTGAACCAGTTTGGTTCAATTCGACAAACGTGCCACTTTGAGTCGGTTCGATCCAAACCGGTTAGTCAGTTTGGTTACGTGCTATGCACTGCAATATGCGTGTTCTCTACACTGCACTGTTATCATACAGCGAGTGGGTAGGCGGGTGGGTGGTGTGCTGTGATTGTGGATGCGAGGGAAGGGAAAATGCACGTGTGTGACTGAAGCAAGGCACTCACACCGCCCACCTACCTGCTTTGGAAAAGAAGGGAAAGCGCAAGCGCAAGTATGGGAATGGAGATGCAAGTGCTTGTCTCCGTGCCATCATCGTGCGTCGCACACTGGGCTGAACATCAGCGTCGGCACCCAAGCAACGCACTCACACTGCCCACCCACCTGCTTTGCCTGCTGACCCATGGGCGGCCCCGGTTGTTGTGGCAGTCGCCCTGTGGGATGCAATCACGAGGAACACAAAGACGAATACACAACTTGACATTCCCTCGCCACAATTATTACTGGAGGCGTCTGGAAGATTTTTTCGAGGAGAAGTGCAGTGAGACCAGATGAAGCAAGTTGCTTTCATGTCCACGTCCAGAAACCATTTTTTACTAGACTCATAAACCAATGGCTTCTGCCTGTCTCATCCGTACCTACTGAACCCGCCATCGCCACCGCAGGCACACCACCAGCCCCCGCCCCAGGCCCTCCTCCTCCTCCACCAGCAGAGGGGCCCACCGCCTGTGCGCCATGTGGCGGGCCCTCATTGGGTGGTGGAGCGCGGTGCAGCACGGTGCGTGCCTCCAGGAAGCCCTCAGCAATGAGTGCCACGTGGTGGGGGTGCTGCCGGGCTGTGTCCGTCGAAGGTTCCGCCGCCCTAGGGCTGCGCTTTGCCTGGGGAAGGAGGTAGTGGGGGAGGGGACGGGGGGACGGTCATCATTGCCCAACAAAACGCGTAGCCCAGGGCTGTATGGGTGGGGGGTGAGCGACTTGACCGTCTCTGATTTCGATCAGCAGGTGAACGTGGGGATGCAACGGCTGTGCTATTTGCGGGAGAAGTGAGAAGACGGACAGCAGTGCAGGCAGTGCAGTGACAGGGTGCACTCGGCGCTGCGATTGTCAGTGCGGTGCCGCGCCGCGCTGGGGACATACGGACGGAGTGCACGGTTGGGGACATGCGGACGGAGTGCACGGTTGGGGACATGCGGACGGAGTGCACGGTTGGAGTGAAGTGATGGGATGCGATGGTGCCACAGCAGAGGGAAGGAGGGCCTTGTAATGAATTAAGAGAGGGAGGGAGGGGCTTGTAACGAAGGGAGGGAGGGGCTTACCGCAACGTATAGCTGTCTCAGTTGAGGAACGTTGCGAGGGGCGATGAGTGAGAGCGTGACATAGAGCTGTCATTCCATGCCATGCAATGCCATGCCATGCCATGTCGTAGAGCAGGGCATGCAGGGGATAAGAGAGGGCATGCCCCACACGATGCCACATACACACGGCATACGCATGGGATGACAAGCCGCGTGCAGCTCAGTGGAATGCAAACTTGCAATGGGCCAAGTCACGAAAGTTAGGCAGACAAAATGTCAGTGCTTTACGCCTGAGGCCGGTGAACGAGGAACAGATGTCGGCAAAAGTGTGGCAAAAGGAGGAGAAGAAGAGAGACGATGAAAGAGGAGCGAACAGCAAGGGTAAGAAACGGCGACTGGGATGCAGCAGAGCATGCAGCATGCTCCCATCGTCACGTGCTGCGCTGCGCTGCTCTCAGCCACAGTGAGTGCACTTGGGGGTGGGCGAAGAGCCACAGTGAGTGCACCTGGGGGTGGGCGAAGAGCGAGGCCACCATGGGGGCAGACGCAAACCACCACGCTGCTGCCTCCCATGTGTGCGCGCCCCCGCTGGGCCCACCACTGGCACCCCCATCAGCAGCACATGGGGCGGTGGGCAGGGGCGGCTTGACGACGGGGGTGGACAGGCGGTGGGGCGGCGAGGCAGCAACGAGAACCACGTGCTTGTGGCGCTCCAGGCCCGCTGGTGGCGTGGCAGTTGGGGCTGCTGTGGGGCACAGCATCTGGCTTGGGGGGGTGGGCGGGGGGGAGGGGTGAACAGGAGGGAAGGAGGGAGGAGGGGGGAAGAGGCAGGCGCATGTGAGGTGGGAGGGTGGCGCTGGGCTACCACGGGCATGTGAGGTGGGAGGGTGGCGCTGGGCTACCACGGGCATGTGAGGTGGGAGGGTGGCGCTGGGCTACCACGGGCATGTGAGGTGGGAGGGTGGCGCTGGGCTACCACGGGCATGTGAGGTGGGAGGGTGGCGCTGGGCTACCACGGGCATGTGAGGTGGGAGGGTGGCGCTGGGCTACCACGGGCATGTGAGGTGGGAGGGTGGCGCTGGGCTACCACGGGCATGTGAGGTGGGAGGGTGGCGCTGGGCTACCATGGGCATGTGAGGTGGGAGGGTGGCGCTGGGCTACCACGGGCACCACATAGTTTTTGTGGCAACGGGCGGGAGGGAGGCGAGGCGTAGGGCAACGGTGATCGGGTTCATGGTGAGACACTGAAAGGGCACCCACATTGTGACCCCCCTGCTGTGCTTTGATTCCGCGTGCACCAGCATCACCACCACCTCACCTCCATGCCCCTTCTCCCAACCGCCTCGCTACTAAATTCCTGCGTTATTTCCTCCCAACCCAACAACATCATCTCTGCAAGTGGTGGCCTGCACTGCTGCTCCTGCACTCATATCCTTACACTTCTACACATTACTGCACTCATTACTGCACTCATTACTGCACTCATTACTGCACTCATTACTGCACTCATTACTGCACTCATTACTGCACTCATTACTGCACACATTACTGCACTCATTACTGCACTCATTACTGCACTCATTACTGCACTCATTACTGCACTCATTACTGCACTCATTACTGCACTCATTACTGCATTCATTACTGCACTCATTACTGCACTCATTACTGCACTCATTACTGCACTCATTACTGCACTCATTACTGCACTCATTACTGCACTCATTACTGCACTCATTACTGCACTCATTACTGCACTCATTACTGCACTCATTACTGCTCGACTCCCTACCGCCAGCCCCTCGCATGAACTCAACTCACCAGCAGCGCCTCTGAGAGGCCCTCAGCAACGGCAGCGTCAGCAGCGCCGCCCCCCGAGAAGGAGAGCATGTCGAGCTACGAGAGGAAGACGGCAGGTGGTGCCGTGAAGGGCGTATGCTGCAGCAGCGAGGCTGGCAGGGTGGGGGACGGGGATGAAGGTGGATGGCGGCGAGCGGAGGAGAGAGGGAGGAGAGCACAGATGGCTTTGCATCGCCTTGAATGGTCCCTCTCGAGAGGAGGCTGAGTGAGGAGGGGAGAAGGATGTGAAGAGGGCGGTGCAGGGAGAGTGTGGTGTGGCAGGTGTGTGATGGAGTGTGGAGGAGGGCGTTTGAAGAAGCGCGAGTGCAGGGTGTGTGGAAGGGTTGAGAGGCTGCAAGGGGAAGAGGAGGAGGGGAAAGGGGGTTGGCATGCACCCAGCAGGGGCAATGCAGTGCGCTTGAGAAGGGCACCGCACCTGAGCAGGACGCCTCACCTGAGAAGGACGCCTCACCCGAGAAGGACGCCTCACCTGAGAAGGACGCCTCACCTGGGAAGGGCTCACGCTGCATCCATGATAGAAGTTGGCGCACCTGAGAAGGGCGCACCTGAGAAGGGCGCACCTGAGAAGGGCGCACCTGAGAAGGGCGCACCTGAGAAGGGCGCACCTGAGAAGGTCGCACCTGAGAAGGGCGCACCTGAGAAGGAGCCGTGCGAGTGGTAGACGACGAGAGCCAGCTCCACCGCTGCTGAGCCCGCCCTCTGCCACGCAGCCAACAGCAGTCAACGCCAGTCAACGGCAGTCAATGAGAGTCAACGCCAGTCAACTCCAGTCAACGCCAGTCAACGCCAGTCAACGACCGTCAGCGCCAGTCAGTGAAAGTCAACCCGAGCCAATGCGAATGAAGAGCAGTGAACGAGATTCAGTGGCATGGAAGTCAGTGGAATGGCAGGAGAGTGAGCGGCAGTGAGCATGCATGAGTGGATAGCATTTGTAGGCGGTGAGAGAAGGAAGGTGGAAGAGGTCGAACGAGCAGCAAGGGAGAGAAGACGGGAGGAGGAGGGTGTAGGAGGCACGAGAACGGGGACGAGGAAACAGCCGAGACGTGCTGATATGCTGAGACCCGCCCTGCCCCGCACCGCCCCGCCCTTACCCGCCCTGACCCGCCCTGACCCGCCCTTTTCCCCCCTGCCCCGCCCTGAACCGCCCTGCCCCGCCCTGACCCGCCCTTTCCCCCCCTGCCCCGCCCTGACCCTCCCTTTCCCCCCCTGCCCCGCCCTGACCCGCCCTTTCCCCCCCTGCCCCGCCCTGACCCGCCCTTTCCCCCCCTGCCCCGCCCCGACCTGCCCTTTCCCGCCCTGCCCCGCCCTGACCCGCCCTTTCCCCCCCTGCCCCGCCCTGACCCTCCCTTTCCCCCCCTGCCCCACCCTGACCCGCCCTTTCCCCCCCTGCCCCGCCCTGACCCTCCCTTTCCCCCCCTGCCCCGCCCTGACCCACCCTTTCCCCCCCTGCCCCGCCCTGACCTGCCCTTTCCCCCCCTGCCCCGCCCTGACCTGCCCTTTCCCCCCCTGCCCCCTGACCTGTGTGAGAGAGTCGACGCCGCAGAAGGCCCTGGCGAGCACGGCATGCGCGGGGGCGGAGGGCAGGGGGGGTGGCAGAGGGGCGGAGGGAAAGGGGGCGGAGGGCAGGGGGGGTGGCAGAGAGGCGGAGGGAAAGGGGGCGGAGGGCAGGGGGGGAGGCAGAGGGGCGGAGGGAAAGGAGGCGGAGGGCAGGGGGGATGGCAGAGGGGCGGAGGGAAAGGGGGCGGAGGGCAGGAGGGGTGGCAGACGGAGGGAAAGGGGGCGGAGGGCAGGGGGGGGGTAGGGAAGAAAGAGGAGGGCGAAGCATGCAGAGATTTCTGCTCTAACGGGAGTTGGAGCTCTACGAAATGCTTCTCTGCAGCCACGCAAACTTTGTTGTTCACTAAGGAGAAAATTGGCTAAGTGTTGAAAAAGGCATAGAGTTGGCACACACAGAAAATTCACTAGAATAGAATGAAAGATAGAATACAAGGGGTAAAGAACTACCCAACCACTGAACCTAACAAGAGAACGTTCTCACCAGAACGTTTAGATAACTACTACTTAGCTGCGCTTTTCCAAGTCAGCATCGGCAGGTGAAAATTACAACACATGCTTAGTTGGTAATTTTTACCTACCTAAAAGTAGTTATTTTAACTGTTCAGGTTGTTTTAAACAACATTTGTAACGCACGTTTTCGTAGTTACGAAAACGTGCGCCAGGTTCAGTTTGCTCAGGTGGTTCAATTCGCCCCCAGATTGAACACCCCAAGTTCACGCACTGTTTCCGGGGGTCAATTTCTCAATGTCCGCAATGTTCCGAAATTCCCACGCAAAAGTTCCGAAACGATCGCGTTTTCGCGCCGGAAGGGTTCGCCGGTCGAAATTGTGATCCTCTGCAGAATTTCGTTTCTGCAGATGCGCCTTCTTCTGCAGCTCCGAAATCTCTGCAGATGCGCCCTCCTCTGCAGCACCACGATCTGCTCTGCAGTTTCGCCCTCTTCTGCAGACTCAATTTCTGCAGATACTGCGTTCCTCTGCAGCAGGACTTCATTTCCGCTTCTGCGAAGTACTTCTGCTGCAGTGCAGAGCTCCGCCCTGTCCTCTGCGAATTTCCGCTTCGGTAGAATTTCGCGTCCCCGCAGAACTCGACAACCCTCTGCAGGGTCAGTGCAATCTCAACACTCCCTTGCACTGATCATGCTGGTCGTCGCAAAGGAAATTGACCCATCTACACCACACACAAGAGCAGAACAGAAATAAAGAAAGAAAGAAAAACATGCAGAAAAGAAACACACAAGAATTGCAGAAGTCTGCAATTCGCACACACCATCACCGCACCAGCCATGAAAAGGTCATGGCACCTATTCCTCGTCGAGAGGACTCTCTGCGCAGCTCCCCTTCGTCGAAAGCCTTACTTGACCAACTTTTGCAAAGCACTTGTTGAACGCAGGGAAATGTAGTGCTTTCGTTAAGTAATCTGCCGGCTGCTCGGTCGTCGAGATGTACTGCAGCTTTAGCTTGCGTTGTTTCACCAGGCTCTGCAGCCACATGTAGCGCTGCTCCATATGTTTCAGCTTTCCCTTCAGCCCCATTTTTTCAGACACAGAAATCGCAGATTGGTTGTCGACGTGGATGATCGTTGGTGACGTCTCGTCGAGCATGCGAAATTCTGCCATCAGATAACGAAGCTTTCGAGCTTCCTTTCTAGCCTCCACTGCAGCGATGTATTCCGATTCCGTAGAAGACAGAGTGATGCACCTGATCCTCTGACTTGCCCATGAAATTGCAGCTCCACCGAGAGTGAAAATGTAGCCACCCGTGCTGCTGCGATTCTGCTTGTCTCCTGCATCGTCTGCATCTGCGAAGCCGATGAGACGCATCTCTCCATTTCCTCTGCCGAACTCGAGAGCAACATCGCGCGTCCCAACAAGGTACGCAATGCAGCGGTCGAGCTCCCTCCAATGTTGATCGCTTCGAATCGTTTGACCAGACGCAAGTTTGTTGCAGGCGAAGGAGATGTCGGGGCGAGTGGTGCAGGCAGCAAACTGCAGAGAACCGACCCTCTGCCGATACTGTTCTTCTATGCGCGCCTGCAACTTCTCGTCATCAAATGTGAGCACCTTGAAGGCGTCGACCGAAATTGGCGTCTTCGGAACTCGTTGAGGAGGTCCTTCTGGCAGAAAACGCCTCTGCACCCTGTCGACGTAGCCTCTCTGATGCAGCCAGATCTTCCCCGCTTCCCTGTCTCTGATCAGCTCCAGTCCCAGGTACTTGTTGACAGGGCTGATCTCTCGCAATTTGAAGGCGTTTTCGAGCAGCGCCTTCAGTTCTGCCAGATGTTCCTTGCTGCGGCTCGCGGCGAGCAGATCGTCGACGTAGACGAGCACCCAGCACATGTCGTGGTTCTCGTCCTCGTGGAAGTAGAAAGCTTCGTCGACCTGACTCTTCGACCATCCTGCGTCTTCCAACACTTCGTCGAGGGCCTCGTACCACAACATCGGACTCTGCTTCAGTCCATAAAGGCTTTTCTTAAGCATGCAGACTCGACCCGTCCCGTCGTTGTAGAACTCGGGCTGCTCCATGAAGAGAGGACGGTCAAGTTTCGCATTCAGAAATGCATTTGTCATGTCGAGTTGCATCAACTCCAAATTTTCGTCAGCTGCGTTCGACAGATGCATCCGAGCAGTTCCGTAACTTCCGACAGGGGCAGATATAGCGTCGAAGTCGTCAGGGGCCTGCGTGTAGCCTTTGACGACAAGTCGACCCTTCTCTCGGTCGACCGTATCATCTGGGTTGTACTTCGTCGTCAGAACCCATCGATTCTTCATGACATTAACCCCATGCGGTCGAGGAACCAGCTCCCAAGTCTCTTGATCGTAGAGAGTCTGCATCTCTGCATCCATTGCCGCTTTGACCGCTTCACCTTTCCAACTCTGCAAAGCTTCTGCGACTGTCATGGTCGAAATGTCCCAACGATGATCCGTGTCGACGACGCACTCGTCAGCAGAGTCGAGCTCTTTCTGCACTACATCCTCATGAATGTCGTCAAGCGAAGTCATCGTAAACATCGTCAGTGCTTCGCGGAATCGGATCGGCTTCTGAATCTTTCGACCGTAGCGAGAAACCTGGAAATTTTCGTCTGCCGGTCCTTCTTCTGCAGGTTGCTCTTCTGCGGCAATTTCTTCTAACTCAGGCATCTCTTTTTCGACATTTTCTTCTGCAAGCAGCTCGTCTGCAGATCGATCTTCTGCCGATTGCTCTTCTGCGGATCGCTCTTCTGCGGATTTTTCGTCTGCAGGCTGTTCGACTTCTCGACGCTCATTGGCGACGACATTCATCGGCAATTTGCTCACCTCTTCGCCAAGGAGTGTCGACAATGGCACCAATTTTTCAGTCGAAGGAAAGAACGTCGAAGAAGAGGCAGTCGACAGCTGCTCCCCTGTCAAAGAAGAGTCAGAGCGAATGTCTTCTGCAGAACGAACCTGCTCCGCAGAAGGAGCGTCATCTGCAGGAGAAGTGTCTTCTGCAGGAGGAGTCTCTGGCAATGGCGAGAGTTGCACTGGAGGGTTGTCAGTAGGCAGCTGCGGTCGAGGAATCGGCGTAGGCACGAGCAGAGGGGCTCGTGCCTTAGTCATTTCGTCATCATCGTCGTCATCATCCGCAGGATCCGTCGGGAACGATGCCACATTGTCGAGCGCAGCACGGTCGACGGTGGGACTCTGCTTCGTCGCCTTCCACTCTGCAAGAGACCTTGTCTCGTAGAAGATGGCCTCGACCGTGGTGATCAAACGGTTGCTCGACAAGTCGAGAACCAACCACCCCTTACTCTGCTGCGAGACACCCAGGTGGAGACCCCAACGAGCTTTCGGCTCCAGCTTCCCCCCCCGCTGACTCCCTGGAATGAGGTACTGCAGCATACACCCCCAAACTCTAGCCATCCCAAGGTCAGGCTTCTTGTCGAAGAGCACTTCATAAGGAGTTACCCCTGATGGCAGAGAGGAATGTTCTAGACGATTCCTCACCCAAACAGCTTGCAGAGCTGCAAGGTGCCACCAATGGTGGGGAGCTCCCATGTGCAGAAGCATCGTCCTAACTGCTTCGACGACAGTCCGCATCTCACGTTCCGCCATCCCGTTCTGCTGCGGCGTATAGGGGCAGGTGAGGTCGTGCTCAATCCCTTTCTCTTCGAGGAACTCGGTGAATTTACTTCCCAAAAATTCGCCACCTCGATCGGAGCGGAGAGCCTTCAGCGAAGCCTCACATTGCCTCTCTGCACGCGGAAGCCACTTCTGGAAAACGCGCAGAGCATCGCTTTTCTGCTCAATCGGGTAGATCCAGACGTAGCGAGATTTTCGATCCTTGAGCAGAAGAAAGTAGCGGCTGCCATCTTTCGTAGGAACTCGGAAGGGCCCGCAGAGATCGATGTGCACTACTCCCAGCACCTTCTGCTCTTCACTCCCCTCTTGAGGGAAACTATGTCGAATGAGCTTTCCCCCCACACAAGAGACACACGGTAGATCAGGGTTGGCCGAATTGTCAATATCCAAGCCTGTCGCTGCACCATGCGTCGCCGTCTGCTTGATTGTTTCGACGCCTGTATGAGCAAGTCGAGGATGCCACATGACCATCTTCGCACGTGTATCCGTCGCCAAGGTCCGCAGAGCAATCGCCTCCTCTGCCGATTTCTGCAGCGGCCACACCTGGAGATCTGTGCTGAGCACTCGTCCTCGATAACGAGCGCGTCCAAGGACTGTCCCATCAGTAGAGAGAAGGAGGGTTTCTTCACCTTCATCCTTCAGCTTTACCCCACAATCCTTCAACTGCCCAGCAGACAACAGATTCGCATGGATTCCAGGCACGTAGAGCACATCACGAATCAGAATCTGCTTCCCAGCTTCACCGCGTAGAGCGATAGTTCCGCGACCACACACGTCTTGGAATGCCCCGTTGAATCCGCAAACATGTTTAATGTCGCCGCCTTCATGCATTTCGACAAAGGCTGCATCGTCGTCCATCAGATGATGTGAGCAGCCACTGTCAAGAAGAACAACTGCAGGATCGGCCTCGACGGCTGCAGCAATCGCATAAAAATCCTCACCATCTTTCGCATTCAGCGAAATGAGCAGAGCGGTCATCTGCAGCTGGTCCACAACTGGTCCCACCATTGAACAAGAAGGTCCCTTTTTGTTGGTCGAATTGGAGTTGTCGCTCTGCGCTCCAGTCTTTGAAGAACTCTCCTTCTACGCAGAAGCATTGTTCTTCTTGTCGGCACGTTGTTCACACTGGAACGCAAAGTGACCGACTTCTCCGCAGACCCAGCAAGGTT